ATGAACTAAATTGAATAAAAGTTTAAGGACGACATTGAACAAATTAAAAGTTTAGATATCACATTACACATTGGGTTAAAGTTCAAAAATTACATTAAATAAATTAAAAATTCATTGATCATATTATTTATTGAGCCGAATTTCATGAATTATTTGTGCCATTTTTCCTATATTTATCTCTTGGGGGTCAAAAGGTTACTGACTGATGCGCAGTGGATCTTCCTGTAAAAAAGAAAAAGAAACGAACGTGGCAATGGCAAGAGGTATCGTGCACTGACTTTCGAAAGAGACGAGACAGATTAATCGTAAAATGAAAGGCATTCCCTCTTCTTCCTTTTTTTTTTTTTTTGTCTTCTGTTCTGATGTAATGATCACTGTCGACCAAGAAATTGGGAGGGAAAAAATATAAAAAGAAAAATTACTGCAAAATGGAGGGAATATTACTATTTGTTATTTACCATACTTGGGGAAAGTATTTTTTTTTTTTTTTGCTTGTGTCTGAACTGTACGACAAAAAGTTCATTTTGGCATATTTATTTTGTGTCCCTTTTGGGATGACTTGTGCATTTAATTAAAGTTGATAAAGCTCTGACTTGAGTTGATGATAACAACGTCTCATCGAATAGCGTGAGCCCCCATTTTAATTGCAGATTGATGCAATTTGTTTGAGGAGTGGGAGTGAGGCAATGGTGGAAATTGCAATTTTCATTTTTTTCCCCATCTAATTGGGACACTACTACATTGGGTCATTTGCATTTTCATCTGCAGTGCACAAAAAAATTGAATTGAAACGAATGACGGTGATGCGCATTTATGAATTGATTTACCACCCTTTGAGATAAGAAAAATGGGTGGGTTGGCAAAGGTCATTATTTAGCATGCAAACTACTTTAGGTTAGAACTGCGAGTGCATGCAAAAAAGCCTAGACTCAAATGAGATTTACTTAATGTATCAGGAGCTTTTTAGGTTAGAACTTTATTGGGTCATTTGCATTTTCATGCAAAATACTTTAGCTTAGAATTGATCTAAGTTTGAATCACATGCGAGGGTTAAAAAAAACCCAGATTAATCGGTGTATGAGATTTGCAGGACGTATCATGAGCTTTCGGTAGCAGGACCTTTATAATTGTGCCCTAGGTTATCCAAAAAAAAAGAAGATGAAGATTGTTAGCCTTGGATTCTCTCTTACTCTGTATTACCGCCGTTGTAACTTAAAGAAATAACTTTAGAAAGTAATTTAAAAAAGAATACTTTTAGATGACCCATATGTCAATGCTCGTATATTTAAAAATCGCCATTATTTCACATAGAACAAAAGTCAAATTTCAACTTATAGAAAAAAAAATTGGATTTTCAAATGCTAAAAGGAAATAAGACTAAAGAAGGGCAAGAGCCATAACAAGGATATGTCGATTTACTTTTATAATTTCACTTATATCAAGATGGTTTCAGCCCTTAACTTAGTAAAACTCAAATCATGATCGAGCCATCAGTTAAGGATGATGGATGGCTTAAGAAACACTAGAAAATGATGATCCATCACGTCTAAAGTCTTACTTCAAATTAATATATGGGGGCCTACATATTCATATGGTAAGATAAGGAATGAAATCATTTACTATGGAAGTGAGTACAGTTCATGTACTACTTAGCTTATTTTATTTTTCTCTTTTTTTCCAGAGGAAATGGGGTACATTCGCAGCACATCAGATCGAATGAAAGTAAAAATTCAAAGCAAGAATTTATTTTTTTGTTCAGTGATATTTCATATAGGGTTAAAATCACAAAAAATCATAGATTGATACATTTGTGACAAATTTATCCCAAACTAATTTTTTGACTACAAAAAACTTACAAACCGGTACACTTGTGAAAAATTTACCCTCCGTTAGTTTCCGTTAAATTGGATTAATATCACGAAAATCACAAACCGGTACACATGTGACAAAAGGAGAGTAAAATCCCAAACTGGTATACCCATCAACTGCCATGCGTCATCCAGCTCAGCAATTTGATAATAAAATTTAACGAAAATTAACGGAAGGTAAATTTGTCACGGGTGTACCAGTTTGGGATTTTTTGTGGTCAAAAAATTAATTTGAGGTAAATTTGTCACGAATATACCAGTTTTGAGTTTTTTTGTAGTGTTTAACATTTTAATATAAGTCAAAGCTCCAATAGGATCACTACCGCTAATTGTCCCTCCCCGCCTTGTTATCGGCTAAAAAACCTCCTCCGAACCAACGTCATTTGTTATTCTTCAATCTTATAGAACTAATAGATAGGTACAATGTTAGCTATTTTTTTATTATTAATTCTAGGAGTAGTACTTTTCCTATTATGACGTCTTATCGAAGCATATAGTTGTACTATTGAATACTCTTTACCAAGAAAAGGGCATTCATGTATGGTAAGGATTAATGAGACCAACTAATGTTGGGCACCAATATTTAAAAAAAAAAGGTTAACTAATCATTAGGGTTAATCATATAGTAGAAAAATAGCTGGCCTTTTTCTTGATTTGGTGAGTTCTGATACTTCAACATCTATCTCAATAGATCAACCCATTATAGGGATAATCTGGACCTTGCAGTAGCATATTTGGGTACTAAAATTATTGAAGATTCATGTGTCTAAGATTAAGGGAGACTTTCTTGGAGTTACCACTGATTTCATCACTGATTAAATGAGTTTTTTGCTTTGACCAAATTCTATCTTCCATAAGAATGCTTTTCCCAATTTTATGTAAGCAGATTAACCCTCTTGCTTATAAATTGATCAGAAACAGATGTATAGCACGAGAGTCTAGCACTCAAAAGATCAATAGGGTCTTTTATAATTTGTGTTATTCGCACATCAGGGGTTCTATGGCTTGCTTAGAGGAAGTGGTTTACTATTATGCCACGTTAAAAAAGAAAAAAATGTTAAAAAATGCCCTTGCCCGGGGCACTTTTTAGACAATTCTTTTGGGGGTCAAAACATCTGATAAACAATTAAATAAGAACATAATGCGGCTTTTCAACGCGATAACTAATGGCTAGGCTCGGAACACATAGAATCATTTTTATAAAAATCGAATATGTCCCCGAGATACTTTTTTGACAAGACGGGAAAAATCAAAACAGATTCTAAGATGAACTTTTCAGCTCCAAAAATAAGCTCTTGGGCTAGATTTATAAATGGATTTCTCAGACATTCAAGAAAATAGTCACTTATCAATGATTTTGGCAATGAAAGGTGATAGAGACAAAATATGTGGCCATAGGACACGATATTTTTTTTCACAAAACCTCGAGTGCAACAACTTCCGCAAACCTAGCTACTACACACAACGATAGGACGGATCACATGTGTAGATAAATCACCGTGCATAGACTTGGTTTCGAACATGCATGCAAATTTCATGGACAGTCCAAACCCAAGCGGGAGTTCCACCAGATGAATGCGACCATACATTCATGAGATTGTACCCACACACACCCACGCAGGCATGTGCTCCTACGGCGAGAGAGAAATGATAGGGGGTGGCGCGTAAGGACGACGATGTCTCGCCATGCAATTGATTCGATCTGGCACCTCTTGGCAACAAGAAGAGAGAGAGAGAGAGAGAGAGAGAGAGAGAGAGAGAGGGAGGGAGTAGGTCAAGGGTTGAAGACAGAGAGGCGGTGGTCCCTGAGAAGCAGCGAAACAACTGAGAGTGACTGTGTGAGAGAGAGATTGATGGGTACAGAGCTTTGGGGGGCTACGGCTTGAAAAGCCGTCCTACAAGGCCAGGCCTAGAGTCTCGGGAGACGTCTTGGACTTAAATTTTGAACACAGACGTATGATATACAGTTCTATATGTCTATACATATCTTGATTTATGACATTGTTTTTTAGTGACTGTTGTTGTTGTCGTCGTCGGGTCCTGCCTAAGGCATTCAAAACTTTGGATGGATCTACTGTTTCCATTTCCATGACCCTCGCCGAGAGAAGTTAGTGCAGTGCGTACCCTTTTTAGGAGAAAAGGTGGCTGGCTCATCATCTCTAGACAAGACCCATTCAGCGCAATTATAAACTTTGTGGGCGCTGTCGCTCTCTCTCGGCACTACTTAATCAGCCTCTCTCGCTCATGAACACACCGAAGAATCGACATGAGTCCATTGTCGTCGACCTATCCTTCCCACAGCAAGGAAGTGACCCGGCATCTTTTTGAGGTCTAGGGTTCGAATCCCTCACCGTCCCTAGATTATTTACCAACCTGCATGCGAGTTCGGGTTTCCTTTCCTCCCGATCAGCACAAAAGGAAACCCCGTGTTCCTAGGGGGATATGACCGCGTTTGGCAAGGATCCATACACTGAGCGAATAAAACTCGGGTCTGATAAGAGCTCGTGTGATTAGCTCAATTCAGACTAGTACTTCATTACGTTTGAAAGATGCAAAAGCACGGATACTCCGCGCGATGTCAATGGGCATAACTAGCGCAGCATCATTTAGGTCGTGTATCTCACCATTCATGGACAAGTTTAGTGGAAAATTAGGATGGTCGAACCCAACCATATTTCGAGGTCCACATGCCTTGCAAGGAGAGAACAAGAGCACTGAGCCAGCAAGAACTAATAATTGTGAAGAAAGGTCCAAATGGGAAGGTAAACATGGGGAGATTTAGTTGGGGTTAAGTATCAGATTCTTGGTCTAACGTAGCATAAGATCAGCTTTGAATCAAATCAACAAAGGAAAGGAAACCGTAGAGTAAGCAGGAGCCAGTACGACTTCACTGGGAGTAATATCACCTCAAGATAAACGTGTGAACCAAAAACAAGACAAAGGAAAAAGCTTGTCCTTCCTACTGGATAAGTGACCAAAAACTCACTGTATAATTCCACCCTAGTACCACAAGGGACAATTGAAAGGTGGTCTCGAACATGAAGTCGACCGATGAGAACAGATACAGCACTCGATCTAAGCCAATAGGCTAAGAAAGTGGTATCTGAACATTAAGCAAAAGAAGAATCAGAGTTTAGCAAAGAAAGGTCAAATTTGAAGCTCATGGTAAATACAACTTTACACCTCTTTAGCATCAGAGCTGATGCTGTCTTTTGCATAAAAAAATATATCAGCAAAGAAAAGGCCTAGAGAAAGCGAGTTGTTATATAAAAAGCACATTCTGTTGCTCCTGAAAATGGGAAAAGTAAAACAAAAAAAAATCAAAATACAAGGTGAAGATTACATAAACAATAGAGGATACATACCTAATCCAAAAACCACATAGATGTTATCCTCTAAAACCTCGACGCCTTGAAAAGGTATGAGCTGTGTCAAAATCATACTAAGAATCAGCTACGATCACAGTATGTTGAACAGAGAGCCAATTGAACTGTGTGGCTACTTCAGAACTCTTCTTTTACGCTGTCTCAAATCACTGGGAACGATATATACAGCATCTACACAAAGACCACCTTTGGAATGCGTGCAATCAATCTGTTTCATGGAAAATCTTACTTCCGTTGCCGGATCCGTGTGACTTACTATAAATTCACCTACTTTGTAATCTATCCAGCATCCACGCTTATGATTTCCATTGATCTCGTCTTGCACAGTATCATCCAAGCGGCACTCACTTGATGCTTGTTGACCATCCGAAGTAGACAATTCAAACTTCACTGGCTTTATATCCCAACCATGGGTATGCTCGAAATAGCAGACTCGTCGTCCCAGCCTTTTGGAAAATTTTCCAAGGTGTAGTCTGAAGGAAATAGTGTATATATCAGCAGGGAAAGGGAATTTTACTGCCCCATCAACCTCGAACCACCATATCTGCTGCAAATAGGCCACCTCATGGAATCTACCAACGAAAGCACAATACTAGAAGCTATCAGATAAGGAAGTTATCTAATATTGCAAAATGAAAGCAAAATGAGCTTAACTAAACTCTTTGACTGGAGCACGATCACTTCAATAAGTTCTCAACTAGAACACAATTACAACTACTAGTAACCTCTTTCTTTTCCTTTTACTTAATTCATTTTCTTGAGGGTGCGGTTGGGATGCGAGAGGGTTTGTCAATACTCCAAACCATGCCAAACTCCTGGAAAACAAATTAACCGAACTAGGTTTCAACACAGATGGAAATCCATTGCTATTTGCTATTGTTGTTATCATATTTAATATCTTCATCACCTACATGTTAATGCAAACAAGTTCCTTCCACAACTCTGAAAGAGGAGTGTGCACATAAAACAGCTAAATAATGAAATCGTATTGGTGGCAAATTAAGTTTGTTAACCCAACGAAATGAACTCTCTATGAACTAAAGTAATTTGATAAAGAAAGAGCACAGGGAAATTCACTCAGAAAAGATGGCCTTCAGCATAGGGACATTGACAAGATCCTACACACTTTTACTTTTAGGAGAAAAGTATTGACGGCTGAAACTGTAGAAAGTACCAAAAACCGGTCAACTTCAACATCAGATAATTGGCTTGAAATCAGACAATGAAACTAGTTACAGCTTGGTAGCTTCTGTTGCATAAAATGCAAAGTGGAACTAACTTGAGTCCCAGTCTCTCCATTAGAAGTTCATCAGATCGAAAACAAGTGCCAAAGCAACATAAATAAGCTGCTCGGAGTTGGAAAGATTCCAAATGAACTAATGATTAAATCAACTTGTCCATGTTTATAGATGCCAAAATTCCATCAATAGTACAGTACTTCGTCCAAATTCTTGATGCCCAAAGCTCTAAAACCTGAATTAGGCTTATGCAAAATTCGGCGACACTTTATGTTCCACAGAGAGCCACAGAGAGAGAGAGCCACACAGAGAGAGAGAGAGAGAGAGAGAGAGAGAGAGAGGTGATTAATTCAAAGTTTGAACCATAGCTTTTACACAACTTTAAGGCTTTTTTTGGGAAGAGGTCAGGTGAGGGAAAATTACAGAGCGGATAGAGAATTATTTAAATATTAAAATTACTTACTCCCTAACAAAATATTCATATTTTTACCATTCTCCTCCCCCACCTCTCATTTTCCTCACCTCCTCTTCTTCCTAAACGAAGCACAAGTTTACCCTCAACCATATACATAACTCCCTTTTATCATTCAAAGAATAGCTTCTGGATAAAATAAATTCTCTGGATGCTCCCTAGTGGGCCGTCAATTGGATGGGGAAGGACTATAGAGACAATAACCAATAAGCAACCACCCTAATGTCGCAAATCATAGTTCTACTTGTTAGTTAATTTAGCAAAAGAAGAGGCCAGAGATCAAAACTGATCAGCTCCTTATTGGAGATGGAAGCTGCTCCTCACCAACACGGAAGAACAACTGATGAATGTCTATTACGAAAACAATCCAATTTCCGAATTTCAGCATATCAAAGGGAATCATCTAAAGAAAAGAGGCAGTAGCTTTTAAATTTGGAGAATTAACAACTAATATGCACTCTCGGCTTCATGTGAAAGCATATGACACTTATATAAGTTTCAGAAAACTTCACGAAACCGTTCAAGAAGTGACAAAATTCATCTGAAAGCAAGCATTTCTTACAGCCGTAGTAAGGAGGACTATATGAATTTCTCTCCTTCATGCAGTCTACAACTCCATTTTTCGTACTTCAAGCATTTCTTGCAGTAGTAATAAGAATGATCCTATATAAATTTTTCCTGCTTCATGCACGGTCTGCAACTCCATTTATTTAAGTGCATTAAGGTGGCAGATGTGTGAATGGCTACTGTTCAAATTTCATCCGGAAACTTCCTTGTTCTTTCTCCAGCTATGGGCATCAAACTTGTTTGAGACAAATCATTCCATCATGCCACTAAATGAATTGTAAAGCAGAAAGAATACGATCTGATCCTTCAGGGAGCTCAAGCCAAAAAGGATAAAATTGTCTCAGCAACTTCTCCACAAAATTGTAAGACAAATATAAGCAAGAAAGGTTATATCACAGAATATAAATACCAACAATCTCAAAGGGCTCAATCCTTGAGCTAGCAGTACTAGAGGATTACCAAAAACTCTTGTATGGCTTGTACTTTTTGTCAATACCATTACAGGTAAGTATAATCGAGAACAGATCATTAGAAAGTAGGCAGGTTCCACTCAAACAGAGGAGTCAAATTAATTTATTTTTACGAGACTGAAGGAGAAGAAGCACCAGCACAAAATAAGAGGTAAAAGCTAAACGTCCTCTAAAAAAAGTTCATTAAACAACACTTTATATGCAACGCTTCCATGCGAAAGTTTCAAATGTTCATCTAAAATTACCATATCCTTTTAAGGAGTAGCTCACACCCATTACGTCTTTCAGACCTATCCATGCCTCTTATTTTTCATGAATTTACAGCCTATGCGATATCATTGGCGGCCCAAGCCCACTTTCATTTTAGTAAAGTCTTAATTGCTCTAGCACTATTCTTCCTTTAAATATTCACCAAGGGCACTTGATAATGATTCTTCAATTATCTCCTTTCTCATTTTTTAAACTATTCTATCACGGCTTCACTAGGTACATAGTCCAAAACAGTCAGTGTTAAGGAAGGAAAGATGTGTATCCTCCCATATATGTGCTTGGAACACTTTGGTTCATATATTATTGAATACTTTTAACGATACAGAATCCTATGCTTATGGATCATTACTCTTTGACAACTTATATTGATAAAGATGTTCTCAATAATGTTAGACATTAATTGCATGACATTAAATTTCACTGAGCAAACATATACAAGTAATACAGGTTACTAATCGCTGTAATATATACCTCCTGTCAGGGAAATATCAAGCGATTCAATTATAATTTAGATGTATCTCGAGAATTTGGCAGTTCTGCTGATAATGTTTCCATATTTAACATGTTAAAGTATCTCTCATCGTTTACTATTGTCATATCAGATCAAATCTTCCAGCTTCACCCCCGTTCACAAAACTACAAGCTTTACAGAGTTTTATTGCTCTTCAAACATGAGCACAACTTTCGTCCTCCGAAAAAAAGAACACAGAAAACTTCCGATAGACAGAACAATAAGGCAGCAGAAATGCCTATTATCTCCCCGGAAGCACGTTACCAAGTATCAAAGGAAGAAAGGCATCCTCCGGAAACCTGAGAACCAGACTTTCAGAAAAGAATCAACTTCAAAGTTTGAAGGAAATCAGTGAGAGGTTTAAATGTACTCAGCAAACCAGAAGGGCTAGATGCAGGCCTTAAAGCTCAAGGGGGCAGGAAACGCTGTATGTGTGAAGTCATAACCTATACATGAGAACTTTAATAAACCTGTAAAGCTTTATTGTATTAAAGATAACTTCATCCGTGTTAAAATACGACTCACGAACTTTTCGGTTTATATCCCTTTCGCACCTTCATCATTACGATTATGCAATACTTGTCTCACATTGTTCAGACATTATTCAGAACGAAACTCAAGCAAAAGCCGTGCCAATTTATCGTGGCGGCATCAGTGGTGGTGTTCGGTGGGCTGGGGGTGAAGCACCGTGGCCCCGCTTGGTTGTATTCACCAATTTTACCACCACTAGCGGATTACTCTCTGCTTTATCATTCTTCAATCCACTCTTCTACAAATCTTCTACTTAGAATAAATCTCCACCAACTGAAATTAACAACCTTAAAAGGGAAAATTATGTGCACAATCAGATTCTATTTGAATCCTTTGGCTTGTCGTGTGATTTTGTAAATATCTTCACCAAATGTCAATTCTTTTTGCACCAATCCAGATGCACCCATCTCTAAGCACTATTTAAAATTTCCAAGTTTTGTGCTGCAGAAAAAAGTTCATCCTACGATTCTGATGAATTCTTCAAAAAAAATGTATAAGCCTCATATACCCCGGCATTAATATAAACACATCATGGCCACATCATTCCCGCAGTATACAGGGGAGTTCCGCCCAGATGCTAATTTAGCGACATGGTCAACAATCAACATCATCATCAGCTGTGCAAGTAGAATTTGAGATTAATAACCAACCTGGATTCTTCGGTGGGAAGCCAGTTCCAGTATCTTCTGTCCTCAATTCCTGTTATCGCCATCGCCCTCGCCGATATCGACATACAAACTCTACCGGTCACTCTGTCCAGCCACACTTCCTGCCGAAAACAAACCCCAACGCTCATCTCTCGTTCCCACAAACCTTAAGAATCCAAATTGAACAACACCTAAAGCAGCAATCGGGGACAGTGAATCCGCGCGGTCGCAAAAAACCTTATTGCCGTCACCGACCGGGACAGGACGGGACAGGAGGGCGAAGATGTCCTTCTTGGACAGGTTCCGGTACCGCTCGGGGGGCAGCAGGTCGAGCAGATCGTGGTAGTTCGCCGGCAGCTTCGCCTCCCAGACGGCGTCGGAGGAGGCGGCGCCGCGGAAGGCCCGGTTGAGCCGCGCCAGGTTGCAAATCTCGGGGGGCGTCAGGTAGAGGAACACGCAGGCGACGCAGCTCTCCGGTATGTCGCCGAGGCCCGGGCCCACGCCGGAGCCGTTGCCGCCCGAGAGCGCCGCGCCCATGGTTCGGGTTCCGGGCCGGTCGTCGGGGGGATTCGGATCCTAGGGCTTCCGGGCGGCGCCGGCCATGGCGAAGAGGGGAGGGGAGGGGAGGGGGGGGGGGCCGGGGTTTAGGGGGGTGGAGGTTAGGGTTTGGGGGGAGTGATTTTCTCGGGAAAATTCGGTGGGAAAATTTTGGGGGGGGTAGGAACTAGGAAGGGTAGGTTGATGGCGGATACGACGGGGCAGAAGGAGGAGGGACGCTGGTTTTGGCTGGAATGCGGAAAGATCGTGCGAAGGATCCATAAAGAATTCGGTTTGACTTTTCTTTTTTTTGTGAAGGGGAAAATTAGGGGAGATGGGGTTTTTATTACGACGTCATCTGGCCTAACAGAATTTGATTACAAAATTACACTCCCAACGCACACGTTCGATAATTCGACGGTGTAGTGAACCTGATTATAATATAAAAAATCGGTTTGATTTTATATGTATATATATATATATATATATATATATATATTTTTTTTTTTTTTCGGGTTGAGTAAAGGGGAAAATTCGGGGTGCTTCATCCTTAATCACGTATAATAGAGGTGATCGTTGGACCAGTTCAGCATAATCTAATATGTCGTCTAAATCTATCCATGTCATTAAAATATAGGGAAAATTTCAATTAAAGATCCGAAGTGCTTTTATTTTCTCAAATAGTGGCCTAAAGTGAACCGTGTGCAAAATAAGGACCCGAAGTGCCTTCATTTTCTCAAATAAGGGCTTGAAGTAAACATTGTGTCAAATAAAGGTCTAAAGTGGCATATTAGTCTCAAAAATGGGTCGGATCTCACCAGAGTCAACGGCATTTTCGTCTTTTAATTTTTTGATTTTTTTCCTTTCCTTTTTTTCTTGGGAAAATTCCAATTTGGGGTCCAAAGTGGGGCCATTTTCTCAAAATGGGGTCCCAAGTGAACTTAGTGCTAAATTGGTACCCAAAGTCCCCAAAAAGTGTCAAATAAGGGTCTGGGTCGCCGGCCGGCCAAAATACTGCCGGTGGCGATCCGTGATGTATTCGGACAGACAGGTGTTTTATATTTTTTTCCTTTTTTCGGTTTTTTCTTTTCCTTTTCCTCTTTTTTTTCTCCTTTCCCTCCGCCGGCCATTGCCGGGGCCGGCGGAGGTCGCTGGCCTCAGGCGGAGGCGCCCCTGGCCGCGAGGGCGACCCGAGGGACGGCGAGGGCGACCCTCGCCGAGATCCGGCGAGGGTCGCCCTCGCCCGCCCGGCCCCAGCGAGGGCGGCCCTCGCCCGACCTGGGTCGCCCTCGCCGGCGTCGGCAAGGGCCGCCCTCGCCCGACCCTGGGTCGCCCTCGCCGACGTCGGGCAAGGGCCGCCCTCGCCTGGGCTGGGCGGGCGAGGGTCGCCCTCGCCCGCCCTCGCCCGACGCCAGCGAGGGCGACCCTCGCCCGGCCCTGGGTCGCCCTCGCCGGCCAGGGCCGCCTCCGCCTGAGGCCAGCGACCTCCGCCGGCCCCGGCAATGGCCGGCGGAGGGAAAGGAGAAAAAAAAAGAGGAAAAGGAAAAGAAAAAAACAGAAAAAAGGAAAAACAAATATAAAAACACTGTTCCTTTCACTGGAACAGTCGCGGGATCGCCGGCCGGCGGGTATTTTGGCCGGCCGGCGACCCAGACCCTTATTTGATACTTTTTGGGGACTTTGGGTACCAATTTGGCACTAAGTCCACTTAGGACCCCATTTTGATAAATGGCCCCACTTTGGATCTCAAATTGGAATTTTCCATTTTTTCTTTTATGTTTTTTTGCATAAAAAAGCTCAAAAATGAAAAAAAAGCTTAAGTTAAAAAAAAAAAAAAAAAACAAGGAGGAGGGTTGGCAACAGCCCTCACGCCTGTAGCCGTTGCCCCATCACCGGAGGAGTGGCGGCGATGACCGGCGGGGTCGTTGGCATCTCAGCGATGGCCGGCGACCCTCGCCAGAGCCGGGAGAGGTCAGCGACCTCGCCCAGACCGGGGCGAGGTCCGGCAACCCTCGCCTAAATCTGGTAGAGGGTCGCCGCCCTCTCTCGACTCTAGTGAGGGCCTGCTGACCCTCGCCTCTGGCTTAACTAAAATTTATATTTAAAATATTGTTGGACAAAAATGCCCTTGGTCGGCCAGAAATTTTGGACTGTCGGCGAGCCGGCATGGTGAAGCCTTTATTTGAAACTGTTATAGTCACTTTAAGCCCTTATTTTAAAAAATAAGGGCATTGAATGCCTTTATTTGATACAAAGTCCACTTCGGGCCTTTATTTGAGAAAATGATGGCGCTTCGAGTCCTTATTTGGAATTTTCTCTTAAAATATATGCAGAGGTTCGAATCGGGCCAGGCCCAATTTTAAAATGGGCGTGCTGGCCTTTTCTATGGCAGAATGTTGTTTACCTGCTCGTCCACTAATCAGCTCTACTCCCGTATGACCAACGTTACCATTAACTACAAATGACTCAATCAACGTATGACCGAGATCATTTTTTGCTTTTGCCTTTTCTTGTTCTTAAGAATAAAAAATAACTTCCTACAAAAAAAAGGAAAAACAACACAAACAGTTCCTCGACTTTGATCCAAAGTGTAAAGTGGCCCCTGAATTTTTAATTTATTCAATATAGTCCATGAACTTTAACCTAATGTGCAATAATGGTCCCTTAACTTTTAATTTATTCAATGTGGCCCCCGAATTTTTTATACATGTTCAATTTAGTCCCTGAACTATATGAAAATGTTCAATTTAGTACTTTTATATAGTTTAGGGATTATATTGAACATATATCAAAAGTTCAAGGACCACATTGAATATTTTCATATAGTTTAGGGACTACAATGAATATGTACCAAAAGTCCAGAGATCACACTGAACAAATTAAAAGTTCAAGGACCACATAGAACATTAGGCTAAAGTCCAAGAATCACATTATACATTGGGCCAAAATTCAGGGACTGTTTATGTCATCATCCCTTAAAAAATTCAGGCCACAGTTGATCTGACTTTGCTGAATAGGTTTATATAAGAGCTGAATATGTGTCCGATGAGCACCAGACAAAACAAGTGGGAATGAAACTAATCCGACATTAGATCCCAAGACAAAAAAAGACCTAATCGCCGCCACAACTTGTTGATTGTTTTAATTGGACTAAAGTATGGAATCATGTACGTAATCACCCTTTATTATGGATAGACTGTTAGTTCTTCTTTTAGGAATTTGCCCATCAATCTGAGAAAGTCGAACGAACCAAGAAAAATCTACTGACCTCTTTGCACTTTGTCTTCTCACGCTAACCACTAATCTCTCATTTTATTTCTTAACGAAGGGTGCGTTCGGGAACCACTTTCCCAAAGCCCCTTGAGCATTTCCGGAATGCTAATCCATTTTTTCCATCCAACTTTGCCCTCGCTAAACTTTCATAGTTTCGAAAATGTCGTCACCTCACGCGACGTCACCTACGAGTGTTCAGGCCACTGATGAGGCCAGATTTGGCTGCCGACTAGCCTCGGGGTCGTGCGAAGTCAGCTAGCGACTCAAGCGAGGCTGCTAGCGCCAGATCTTACTCGCCGGCCGTTGAGTCGTTCACCGATTTTGATTTTTTTTTTTTAAAAAGCAAAAATTTTTTACAACATGTGATTTTTCCAAACACCATTTCTACAACAGTTGTTTCCCAATGCACTTTAAATTACAATTTACCAAATATTATTTACATTTCGAAAAACCCCTTTCACCTGAAGGCTTTTGCATTTTTCCAAGTAATTTCCTCAAAAGCTAAACCAAACACACCCTAAGTATACCATGAGGATTATATCATTAGTTAATGTCAGTGCTTTGAGCTATTATCTACTGATTAGATATGGATAGATTTTGGAGAAAATATTTTTTTTTGTAATTGTTTAGAAAAGAATGAAAGAATCATGAAAAAAAAAACATAAGTATTAACTGTATTTCAATAAATGAAAGAGAAAATTTTAGATTGTGATGGAAAAAAACTCTATAAAGAGAACCTCGAGTTTATATTTCAAGTGGAGAAAAAAAGTTGGAGGCCTGTTTGATTGTTGAATTAAAAATTCAGCACTTGATAAGATCGTGCTTATTCGGAAAGTTCTAAATAAAAGTGAGTTTAGTCCAGAAAGTAACAGAGGGACTACTTAACTCGTTTGACGTAAAAACAAGGGGTAATATCACGAAAGATCCCAAATTAGAATATTTGCGATAAATTTATCACAAACTAATTTTTTAATCACAAAAACCCCAAATCAGTACACCTATAATAAATTCAGCACAAACTAATTTTTAATCACCGAAAACTCTAATCAGGTATATTTGTGATAAATTTACCTTCCATTAATTTACGTTAAATCAGATTAATACAACGAAAAATCACAAATTAGTAGACATGTGACAAACGGAGGGTAAAACCCCAAACTGATACATCCGTCAACTGACTTATGTCATCAAACTCAGCAATTTGAAGTAAAATTTAACGGAAACTAACAGAGAGTAAATTTGTCACGTGTGTACCGTTTGAGATTTTTCGTGGTGAAAAAATTAGTTTGGGGTAAAATTGTCACAGGTGTACCAGTTTTGGATTTTTTATTGAATGAAGAGCAATATGAGCTTAAAATATCAAAATTATTAAATTATGCGGACTCATCAAGACGAACAGGGTGGTAATACAATGACGATCCACAAAGTGCGCGAAGAATATTTCGGACCGAATGGCAAAGAGGCATGTTTTAGCAAGTCGGTCGGAAAAAAAATCGAGCATGTATCGAAGCACGAGATTAATCTCGTTATTGTATTTGTTTTTGCTAATACATTTCCACTTTGATTCGGATTCGACTGAATTGACTTTTATTTACAATCGAGAATTTTTACAACACTCAAACATTACAATATCAATCTACCTATAATTTTTTTTTATATAATTTCTAATAGTGAAAACGAAGAAGGAAAAAAAGTAAAGAAAAAAATGTCCTCGGACGAAAATATCCGTGGCTATGAATAAGATTTGGAGTTCGGATTTTTATTTGAGGCTAGTTAGCCATTTTGGATTCTTATTTAATACAATATCGACTTTGGGTTATCTTTTGAGAAATGGGCCTCACTCTCGGTCTTTATTTGAAATTTTCCCTTTTGCATTGAAAATTCTGAAACTTATTACGAAAGTGCAATTGAGTCGTCCTAAAACTTTCAAAAAGGGCAATTAAATCCTAAAACTTGTCACTAAAGTGCAATTGAGTCATCCTAAAATTTTTAAAAGGTGTAATCGAGTCTTAAAACTTGCCACGAAAGTCCAATCAATCGACTAAAACTCTTTGAGAATTTTAGGACTTGATTGCACTTTCGTGATAAATTTTAGGACTCGATTGCATTTTTCATGATAAGTTTAAGAACTGGATTGTACTCTTTTGTGAACTTCGAGCGTACTTATCCCTAAATTTTATTGGGAAATCAATTAATTTTTGTTTTCACTTTTAAGTGCAAACGGACGGGACTACGGAACAGAGGAATCCGACGCTGAGAGATCTCGAAACCGCTCTGGTGGGAGGGAAGCTCTGGCGAGAGAGAATGAAGAAGGAAGACACGGTGAAGCTGATCAGCGCCGAGGGCTTCGAGTTCGTGATCGACAAGAAGGCCGCCATGGTCTCCCAGACCATCCGCAACATGCTCACCTCTCCAGGTCTCCTCTCGCACCTTCCGCCGCCCCCCCCTTCCCTCCCTCTCCCAGGATCGAAGCGAACGTCCACGTTCTAGGGTTTTCTCCTCAATCGATTTTTGGGGTGGGGTGGGGGGGATGTGTTCGATTCTGATTTTTTGAGGGGGTTTTTTTGGTGCGTTTTTTTGTCGGCGGCGCAGGGAGCTTCGCCGAAACGCAGCTCGGAGAAGTGACGTTCCCCGAGATCAGCACCACCATCCTCGAGAAGATTTGCCAGTACTTCTACTGGTCCATGCAGTACGCCAGGTTGCGAAGATTCGTCTCCTTCCTCGCCCTAATTCTTTGTCTGGCGCGGGATTTCTAGCGTTTTCCCGGTTTGATCTTGTGATGTTGTGATGGTGAGCTTTGGCTCGTGTTTGGATGTGCGATCGTCTCCATGTGAAGTGTGGAACATTGGGTATCGTGCTTGTGCTGTTTTTACCAAGTTGTCTCGGGGGAGAAGATTTGTTTTTTTCGAGTTCAGAGGCCCTTTTTTCTTCCAATTCTTGTAGGCGCGTCCTTATGCGTGATCATGGTTAGCCTGCTTTACTTTGAAGGAGAAATATTCAAGACCCTCGGCCCTCCCCATTAAGCTTTGAAGACGCATAATGAACTGGGATCTCTTCTTTCCTGTTATGTGTGAGCTTTGGTTCGTTTGGATGTGCGATTGTCTCCTTGTGATGTGAGAGAATGCGGTATCATGCTTGTGCTGTTTTTCCCAAATTATCTTGAGGGAAAAGATTTGTTCTTTTCGAGTTTAGAGGCTTATGCGTAATCATGGTTAGCCTGATTTACTTTGAAGGAGAAATATTCGAGACCCTCGGCCCTTCTCATGAAGCTTTGAAGACATTTATCTCTCTATCTGTGATAAATGTTTGCTTTCACATGGTAGTGTTAAGATTAAAAGCTGTTCCTCTTTTCTACTAATGATTAGATTCTTAGATAAAATTTGACTTAGATCAATGGGCTGCTGTGATTAGCTCTCGGAAGGGAGGGATCCACGAGAACAATTCGGGAACTAGATATGATTTGAGGGAAGTGATGCATGTATTGGAGTTGGTTGTCATTCAAAACGATGGCAGATAACACGACAAACTCATTATGTTAATGGTGAAATTGAACATCCTATCCAAAAGATGTAATACTTTGGCAATTTGATAACTAGTCATGGTGCATTTGTGCTAACATGCAAGATGTCTTCATTGTTGAGTAGGAACCATCATGAGCTGCTTGAACGTGTATTTTAAGTAATATTAGTGTCAGATGTAGCACAAAGTCATTTAAAATTTTGTCGGAGATGTTTCGCAGTTGCAAGCTCGAGATTTATGCATTCTGTAAATCATCTCATAATATGCCACATCATTACTTTAAAAAAACCGGGGAGTTATTTTGAAATTTAGATACGTGGACTTTGTAAAAATTAAATGTTATTCTTTTCTTTAAAGAAACTGTCAAAAGGTTTTACATGACTGAGGTGTCAATGAAGTTAAAAATAGAAGTCCCCAAACAGAAACTTTGTTTTTCTTTAAAACATCAGGTATAAAACAGAAACTTTTTCCGTCTTTTTTCGTTTTGGGGGGGCGGCGGAGAGGGGAGGCTCGGCGCTTGACTGTCTCTGTATCTTGTTTAGTTTATCATTTAATCCAATTAGTTGACAGAAGGCATCTTCCCAAAGTAAAGCATCATGGTTTAAAATTTCTAGGGGTGTAATCAGACAGGTTTAAATCGGTTGGAGATGGCCTGGTCAGTTCATTTTTAAGCCAGTTTCTGGATGAATCTGTCCGGTTTTTTATTTCATTAGGAACCAGCTGGGATTCGGTTCTTTTCTCTGGTTCTAAGTCTGGAAACCGGTTAAATTGCTGAGTTAAACAGATTTACATATTATTTTTCAAGAAAAGAAAACGACTAACTTGGTAAATGGCGAACTCAAACCTGGGAAGGTTGCTTGGGGATTCCAGACAATCACCCCCTAGCCAAGTTGAACTTTCTATTAAATATCCCAAAACATGATTATAAAAGCAGTTTTTGTTAAAACTTAATCAGGCTGAGTTGTTATTACTTTTTACCTCCATGCCCTCTCGTCTGTTCTGTTTTAAAGATCTCTTATTCTCTGTACTTTAGTCTACTATCGTGTCTCTCTTTTGTTTGCCACTTTCTGTCTGTCTGTTCCTTTCAGGTTCTTTAGTGGATCCTTTTCTGTTCATAAGCATGTGTGTAGCAAGTATAATTTTGGTTTGAACATTGAAGGTTTTCTTTTTGTGCTCATTTTTTGTTTCAGTTCTTAGCGCTTCTGCTTCTTTTTCTGTGATTTTGGCCCTAATTGTAAAGCTGAAGGAAAGAATACTAGAGAACTACAATTGTTGTTTAATGAAGTGAATTGATTTGTTCATTAATTAAAGATTTGCTATCTTGTTTCTGTGCCTTTACATGTAAAAATCCGGTTCTAGGGTCTACCTAGGAACCACAATGGAATCATTTGGTTCAGGAATCGGCCAGTGCTTGTTCCAAATTTTTCGATGGGATCTACATAATGTCTGTTCCATGTTCCAATCTTTGAACCAACTCACCTAGATCATGCTCACCCCTAGTTTAAATTGAAATCTTATAACATAGAAAATTATGCAGGTCATATAGCGATGTACTATACAAAATTAAGAGTATGTGAGAAAACTCTAAAGTAGCATCTTTGCTTGGTATTTCAGACGATCTGGTTTTATTCTTAAGTTCAAAGGAGATGAGAACTTGGAGAAAATTAGGGAAATTGCTGCTGTTAGCATGTGATGGCTACTAAAACTAGGATGAATATCTCGACTCCCCTTATCTTTAGTCATGAGGATGTATGGATGAAGAGGAGGATGCAGAAATCAGAGTTAACTGTATCGTGATCTCTAAAACTGGAAAAAAAAACTTGTTTAGAGTATGATGGTTAATATTGCATGTTGAACCCAGCAGGAAGGGAATCATCTTCTGTCTTTATTTTTACCGTACTGCAATAATATTCTATTTCCTTCCCTTTCTGGTGGTGGTGATTACAGACTGACCACATATTTTCTCATGATACTAAGAATATTTTGTTAAAAGCCTTGCACACAGCGGTGTTACAATGAATAATTGTATTGGTAAGGTGAATCTTTTCTTTTGCTTAAATTATAAGGTGAATGAAAAATATGTCAATTGAGTCTAAATTGATTCTAATGTTGACTGGAGGACAGATTGGTCGCCCTTGAATGTACTTCTATAGTGGGGTTAGGACTCGATTAACCAAATCAGAGCTTCTAGAAGTCAGTTATATATCGTACAATAAATTTAGTGATTCTACTGGAACTATAGTAGTGCTACAATGGAAATTGGGAGATGCATCTTTGATCAATATCTTCAGTATTTTTGGCTGGGTTTGCTTTGCTTGCCTATCTGTCTACAAAATCGACAAGTGCATGAAAATTCCTTTTGATATCCACGCTTTATTAACTAAGAAATACTTTTGTTTTGCCAGTGGAAAGGAGACCGAGTTCCATATTGAACCCGAACTGACGTTGGAGCTGATGATGGCTGCCAACTATTTACATACTTGAGAAGATCCCCGTCATTTTTTCGGGTGACCACTCATGAACAGAAGAAACCCCTGGCACATGTATCTCTAGTATATGCCATGTATCTCAAGAGGATTCTAACACTGGATTCAATAATACAACCTTTCCCTTCACTCCTTGTCTGTTTTGCCTGTTTTCTTGTTCTCTGTCATCTAACTGGCATTAGTTCCCTACACATATTGGTTGCTTTGCCAGGTCATTTTAGGGTCATTTTTTCCTTAACCTCTCTCTGAAATCCTAATGCTCTAGATATAGCACTGTATGTGCATGACTTGCCTGTCAAACTTTAGGTATACCTAGGATTGCACAGTTTGGGTAACCCATCTTGGGTTGAATCGTTGAGATTGGGTGTCATTCATGGCTGGCTGAGATGGGTGGGTGAAGAAGTCTTTGGCGTGCATCACCATCTCACTTTGAACACCCAATTTGATTCTTAAGCCGTGTTGGTGTAGCTAATGACAAGGATCTTTGAGCAACTCAATTGTCTGATGCAAACAATATGCATTATAAGCGACTGCAATCCTTCTTCATTGCTTTCTTCTGAACGAAACAGTTCTTTGAATCCAGGATGGAGCGTAGCTCTGCAAGTGTAGTGTTGTAGCTTTTCATTTCCTTGTTCTTCCGTAGGATGGAATTTTCTACCTTTTCTTCTTGTTCTAAATGTGGTGTCTCATCTGACTCGATACCGGTTCTAACGAGGAATTGATTTTGGAGCAAGGCAAATCGGTGTGTCGAGCATGGGATTAGAGAGAAAAAAGGAAAAGTCGGAGAGAGAGAGATGGGCAGCCTAAAAAAGTCCCGTGCCATAACAAGATCCCACCCGCGTAACTGAGGGTGTGTTTGTTCGAGAGAAAGTATTTTTTCAGAATTAGTTTTTCGAAATGATTAGTCAATCAAAAACACTTTTTGGTTAAGGAATATATATTCATGCATAAATTTAGAAAAGTGAACTAAAAAAACTAAGAAGACGAAAACACTTTTCGAAATTGCTCCTCTTTCATTTTTTAATATTTCATTTTTTTCTCTTTTATTCTTTCTTTTATTTCTTTTTCTTTTTTCTTTTCCTTCTTCCTCCTCTACCGATCGCCAAGCCTCGGCAACAACCGGCAATCAGCCACAGGCGCAAGCTCGAGCCTCGCCAACCTCGAGTAAGCTCAACCTTGCCCAAGGCTGGCCAGGTCGGCCCTCGCTAGTGGCTTGTCGTGGCTATCGCCAACGCCCGATGACTGGCGGAGGAGGAAGAAGGAAAGGAAAAAAAGAAAAAAATTATTTAAACGTTCGATATATATATTTTTTTTGCCTAAGATAAAGACATGAAATTGAAATCATTTTTTAAATGAGATCCAAACACAAAAAATATCACTAGACAAAAATAAATGTTTTGGAAAATATTTTCTTAAGTCGCCCGGAATTATTAGTTAATGAAAAATATTTTAATCATTAACAATGATTAATGTCTGAACACATTTGCGGACAATAATATCCTTTTTTGTTCGTTCAATTTTTTTTAAGTAATATCAATGATAATTTTAGAAAGATATTTTTCAAATCGTACGATGACTCGAGATTCAAGTGTCAAACTTGCATTTTTCATGCTTGTTTCCCGTAAGGTAATGGGGGTGGGGAACATCTCCATACCAATCGTACAATGCCATGGCGAATGAGAGTCTTCTCTTTTTGAACACGCTTAGGGAACGTGTCCCACGAAAACTCCGATTCGAGCAACAATTGTCTTCGAAGCACGTTTGACTGTTGGTAAAAGTGCGTGTGACTTTCCTACAAAGCGGGTTTTCTCCATTTTAATCGAAAAGGAGCGTGCCGTTTTTGTCAACGACAATGTTTATTCAAAGCTATTTAATTTCGACGAAAGATCCACATCCACAAGTTCATTAACCTTAGGTCCGCTATCCCGGTCATGATTTTTCTTATCCCGATAGGGAAAGGTCCTTCCCCTGTAGGGCCGGTTGTGGGCGAGTAGGGATTCGAACCCCCGATGCCGTGATTCGTAGTCGCATGCTCCGATCCTTTGAGTTACAGGCCCCATCCCGTTTCCACCGGATTCATTCCCGGGAATATCAAAAAAAGAACAAAGGAACATTTTCTCTCCCTTGCCCATTTCGGGTTAAGAAGATGTGAAAAGTCATTTCTCTCTATAATAATGGTGCGTTCCGAGGTGTGAAGAAGATATTTCAGAAGTGGGGTTTTGAATAAAACGACATTTTCCTCTATTTTCTTTTTAAATATATATATATATAAAACAATAATAGTAAAAATGAGAGGTGTTGAGCTTTTTATCATCCATTTAATGTACATGACTCCCGTGACCAAAAACAATGTACATGGCTAAATATTCTAACTCGTGGAAAAAATCGAGCAGAGGGATAGTTTTGTAATTGAATAGATTGGTCATTACAAGATTTTCTTGTAGAAAGTAAGTTCTTTTCAATCCTAATATCTTACGCACCTGCGAAAGGAATAGAATTTAGAAAAAGCGAGAATGATACGTATTTGCCGTATGCTCATTTAATTTTTGTACCGACTAAAATATTTCGTCGAATAAGCTTGAATGATGGTAAATGGAATTTGATGAGAAGTCAAGAATTTTCAGTTAGCTGGGGGTGGGGGGTAAAAAAAAATACCTAACTTTCTAATAATATCTAAATTTAATTATAAACTAGGGAAGTGAGGACCACTGTCAGCACGTAGTTTCCTCGGTCCGCTTATAGTTCCATGATCTTACAGCAAGAATCTAGGGATGAATTGGGAATAAAAAAATAATCAAAATTACGGTAAGACGACCTTCTAAGTCTCCGTTTTTTCGACAAAAAAAAAAATTTCGTTTACTTCGCGAAAAATAAATGATTTAAAAAAATTCTAAAAATAATTACTTGAAATAATTGGTCAATAAAAATATTTTATCATTTATGTCTAAATATTGCCATTTCTGTTGAAAATAGTTTTTGTTCATTAATTTTTATAAGCAATTGCTTTTAGGAAATGTTCTTCAAATTATTCATTTTCCACGAGACAGACGGAGCATAAATCTCTATCATTTTTCGCATTCAAATTCATATCTTATTTTAAAATCCCTAAATGGATCAAACACTTAAGTGACTTTTGGCTAGGGAGTGGAATAAGGCACATAGAATGACGTAGATATTCCATGAGAATGGAATATAATATGGTAGGGATTAGAATGGAATAGCTATTCTCTATTAAAGTTGGATTGAAAATCGAATATAATAATATGATTCGAGTTTGGAGCTAAATTACTCTTTTCTTTGGGCTAAATCTTTTGGGTAAAGAAAAAATTGTATTGTATTGGTCCACTAATTGGACCTAGAGCCATTTTTTAAATCCACTCGATTAGAATTTTAGTGAGATATAATCATAATACTTCTCTGATCATATTGGTTCCATAGGGTAATATTTTATGTTATAATAATTGCAATTGGGGGTGTGCATCGGATTCAGTCCAACCTTGAAACCGAACCGGGTGGTTCTAGGTTGTTCCCGGAGGGGCTTGGTTGGTCCTCCCGTTCAAAAAATTTGGAACCGGGAATAACCGGTCTGGACCAACTGACTAGTCAAGATTTCTGAATTTTTTATTTTGAAGCAAATACTAATTAGTAAATTATTATTTTCTTTTAATGTTGTGAAACTCTCACTTGTGGGGATTAGAAGAAACAAAAAACAAAAGAAATCACCGATTTCGAGACCAACCCTGAAACTGAATTGAACTGGTCAGTTCTGCTCCGGGACTAGGTGGGCCGATTCCCGATTCCATAAACTGGGAGCCGACCCTGCCCAGTCAAATTCCAGGTTCTAGGTTCCAGGGTTGAAAACCGGTCGACCTTGGAATCGATCACCTCTAATTGCAATAACTTTTGCTTATAGTTGATAGTAAATAATAAAATGGGAAAAGCTATTAATGATTTGAAGGGAGGGAATAGCTAGGAGCTATTCAAGATCTAATTTATAACACGGAGAGAAGGAATGACTTGTATCATTGGACATAAAATTGTGAGCTGAATAGCTATTTTAGCGAACTAAAACGGGCAACTATTCTTTTCATCTTTCGTATTTGCAAGCAAAAAGCAAAAAGTACAGCGTATTCTTATTGCCATCCCATGGTCATCGCACGTACTTGCGTAACTTCTTCTATCTTCATTGAATGTGTTCGCATAATTTCCTCCTCTAAGTTCATGCATTGAACTTCTTATGCAATTGAAATTTTTGGCGACAAAGGATAATATTAAGGGTTAATACCACGAAAAATACCAAATTAGTACACCCGTGACAATTTACTCGAAATTATTTTTTGATCACCAAAAACTTTTTTTTTTTGACATCATCAAAATAAAAAATTAAATCGGTAGACCTATGGCAAATTTAGCAAAAACTAATTTTCGGGTCATCAAAAATCCCAAATAAGTATACTCGTGACATAATTATCCTCTGTTAACTTCCGTTAAACTATACGGCTGCGTTTGGTCGTCCGTATAAAACTCGGGATAAGATATGTTTTATCCTATCCCGTGTTTGGTAGGTGTCCCGGATAGTATAATGTCGGATATAGAGGGGATATAACCCGGATAAAAAAATCCGAGGGGAGGGGGTAGGATAAGGTCGGATAGGACTTCTCCTATCCGTCACATAAAAGCAAATTTTTAGAAACCCTACCCTTCATTCACGCACTCTTCACCCACGCGGCTCGTCGAGATGCTGAACCGGAAGGACCCGCAGGAGGAGGAGATCATGTGGTCGTCCGCGAAAATACTGTTGAAGCTTGCCGGGAAGAAGCGCTTTTCCGCACCTCGCCGGCGACATCAGAGAAGCTCCGAGCCTCTTCGTCGCTTCTTCTTCTTCTTCTTATAGGCGCGCCGACTGCTCAGCTCTGCTCAGCTCAGGTATTGTTACTGTCCTCTCCAGTTTCGCACCGTCGTCAATGGCGTTCGTCGTGTTCGTCGAATGGTATCTAGTTCGCGGTGGAGCAAGGAATCGGTGGCCCTTCGTCCTTGCAATTCCTGATTCAGTTCTGTTCGATTTGTCTGTTTCGAAAAACAACGCGATTGCGGACGATGAAGGAACCCACCATCTCGCCGTTTCGATTGTTTGTTTTGTGCTTGCGATGCTCTGTGGTTCGGTGGAGTTGAGGTTTGGTAACTTGGAGCTTGTCTCTCCGCTCTTCGCGGCTTCAGTTGATGTTGAAAGATGGCTTTTTTATTTCACATTCGAGTTCCATCTTTGTTATACCATTTAAGATGTTCTTCCGACGTTGTTATGTGTAAACCCTGGTATTTGATGCTTTTGCAGATCAATGGGTGGCCTGGCTCTTAATAAGAAGAAGAAGGGTGCGGGTGCGGTGAAACCTCCGCCTAAGAAGAAGCTGAAGAATAATTTGTTTGTGGAAAAGCGCTCGAAGAAAGACGATGATGACAATTTTCTTGTCTCATTTGTTTCTATTTTCATTTTATTTTTTTTTTGCAAAAAAAATTGAAAATCTAATAAAATGTCATATTTTCAAGTTTATTTGTGTATGAGAATGTTATTTTTATAGTAATAAGATCGAAATATTTCATGAGCATCACGTAGGGGTATATATGTCCTTTATATTGATATACAGTTTCTACCAAACGCAGGATAGGATAGGATATGAGAATATCCGACTTTAAATCCGTACTTCACCAAACAGTGGATAGGATATGGCCAAATCCCTATATTTCCTATCCTATCCTATCCAATCCTATCCTTACCAGAAATACGGACGACCAAACGCAACGTTACAGATGTATTGGTTTGAGATTTTTTATGATTCGAAAATTAGTTCAGAGTAAATTCGTCACAAGTAATACCATTTCAAGATTTTTGGCGATCAAAAAATTAATTCAGGATGGATACGTGGTAAATGTACCGATTTGAGGTTTTCAAGTGGGATTAATCCTTACCTAATATTAAGAAGCCGGCGGCACCATCAAAAAAAGGCGGAAGTGGAACGGTCTTCGTCTCTCTCTCTCTCTCTCTCCTCTCGCCCACCCGGTTCCGGCTTTTCGAATGGAAAACCGTGGGTTCTTGGGCTTCCAAAGCTGGGTGTGGTGGTGGCTTTCCTCCCTCCCCTCAAAACCATGGGCAGCGCTTCCTGTCAGCTCCCACCAGAAAACCTCCCCCCCCCCCCCCCCCCCCCAAACCAAAACCACTTGCTGGGCTCGCTGTATGCGCCACACGCCCTTGTCTCCCCCACATCACCATCACCCTTATCGCCTCCCCCCATAAAACCCATCCGGCCTCATCCCTGCCTCGTCCTCAACTCTGCAGAAATTTTTGCTGGTCTCCCTCCTATATCCTGAACTGGGTTTGAGGAAAGAAGGGATCTTGCACCCCACGGTGGAGGCTGTCGAGGCTCGAGGTGTTGCATTTCGGGGTTTCTTGAGGTTTTGCTGACTTGGGTATGTTCTTTTACCTGTTGGGTTGCGTGGGGATATCTCTGTTTTTGATTGCAAGGGGGAGAAACAGAGTCTGGTTCTGTATGCGGCCTTTTGGCCTTCTTGGGGGGGTAAAAAATTGTATCTTTATTGGCAAACGAGAATAGGAGATTCACATTTCTTAGAGGGGAGGAAGATTCGTTGGGGGGTGAGCTGAAGATAGAATCTTGGCCTTTTTTTGTTTTGTTTTATGTTGATGGAACCCAATGGTTTAGGTGGCGGGATCTTTGGAGGCATTGGTCCAGGGATGCTAGGTCTAGAAATGCCTCTGCATCATCAGCAACAGAACCCCCCAAATGCCCAAAACCCTCACTCCTTGCACCACCCACAGGTGGTGGGCTATGCCCACCACGAGGCTGACCACCACCCTCAGTCTCAGCCGCCGGGGAAACCTGGGTATGCCTACGCTTCTAAGTCCAAGCAACAGCTGACCCTTAGCGACGACGACGAGGCCGGGTTCAATGCTGATGATAGCGCCGGGGACGGCAAGAGGAAGGCGTCCCCGTGGCAGAGGATGAAGTGGACCGACACCATGGTTAAGCTCCTGATAATGGCCGTGCTCTATATCGGCGACGAAGGAGGTTCGGAGTCGAACGACCCCAAAAAGAAGCCCGGGGGTTTGCTTCAGAAGAAAGGGAAGTGGAAGTCGGTGTCGCGAGCTATGATGGAAAAGGGGTTCTACGTGTCGCCGCAGCAGTGCGAGGACAAGTTCAATGATTTGAATAAGAGGTATAAGCGGGTGAACGACATACTTGGGAAGGGGACGGCTTGCCGGGTGGTGGAGAACCAGAGCTTGTTGGAAATGATGGATTTGTCGCCGAAGATGAAGGAAGAAGTTAAGAAGCTGCTCAACTCGAAGCATTTGTTCTTTAGAGAGATGTGTGCTTATCATAATAGTTGCGGTCATGGTCCTGGCGGTAGTGGTGGCGCCGGCGGTGCCCACCACTCACCTGAGGTGGCTGTGGAGCCATCTCACATCCAGCAGCAGCAGCAGGTGACTCAGCGAGGGTGCTTTCACGCTGCGGACTCTGTGGCTGGTGATCATTTGGGTAAAACAGAAACTGAGGCTTCAAAGATGGTAAAGGGAGGAAGCGGCGAAGAAGAATACGGCGACGATGAGGACGAAGATTCGGAAGACGAGGATGACGATGAAAGTGATGATGAGGTGGGAGAAGGTGGTTCGAGGGGTCACAGTGCGCAGGGACATGAAGATGAACATGATCATAGCGAGAGGACATCGTCGCTCAAAAGGCCGAGGAGATGCCTACTCTCGCTCTCTACAGCACTCGTGCAGCAACTGAGTGGTGAGGCAACGAGTGTGATGCAAGACGGCAATAGGAGTCCGTGGGAGAAGAAGCAGTGGATGAAGGCGAAGCTGTTGCATCTGGAGGAGCAGCAAGTGAGCTACCAGCTGCAGGCGTTCGAGCTCGAGAAGCAGCGGCTGAAGTGGGTGAGGTTCAGCGGCAAGAAGGATAGGGAAATGGAGAGAGCCAAGCTCGAGAACGAGCGGAGGAGGCTCGAGAACGAGAGAATGGTGCTTGTCATCCGCCAGAAGGACCTCGAATTGCTCGATCTTCAACAGCAGCAGCAACATTCATCCAACAAACGGAGTGAACCGTCGTCGGTCACGGGATAATTTGTACATTTTATAAGATAGAGTAGACACAAAGAACTGGTTATTCTTCAGCAGAAGTGTTAGTTGTGATCTCAGTATTTCTGTATGAATTGAATTGCTTAGCTGTTTTCTTTAGAATCCTTTCTCTCTTCGACCTTATTGCACACTCGTTTGCTTCACTTATAGCGTAGACACGTGACTTCCTATGGCACGATGTCTGACAGAATGATGTATATCTTTAGGTGCAAATGTACGCACACTCAGTCACATTCAAGGTATATTTATGGAGTTTGTAACAATTTGAGTACCTATCTCAATTTAGTTAGTATGCCGATGGTCAACTCTAACTTTTTAAGATGCTGAGCATAATTCTAACTTTTCAAGATGCTGAGCATAATTAGTAGTTATGAATCTTTTTCTGGTAAGCTATGTTCCAGTTCGAAAAGCCAAAAGCTGAAAATTTAGAAAAGTGGCCGCACAAATATGCTTCTTTGTACGTGAAACGTGGTAGAGATTGAAATAGAACGACATTTTTCTGTCAAAATGAAGTGGTGATGTTGTTGGTGTGTTCAGGTCGCAAGCATTTGTGCTATAATGGGCTATTCATCACGCTCATGGTTGAGTTTATAACACGAATTATGTTGCAAAAGCTAAATTTGAAGCAGCAATTTCCCATTTATGCTTGCATAAGTCATTCTTGACATGTACAATGCCAAAGTTCGATAAAGATGGCGACAGCTTCACAATCACAGCGTCAAAATCGAGATACCAAAGCTAACCGTTTGTACAGATGCCTGTGCACGTATAGAACTACTGTTGTTTCCGTAGTCGCATCGTGCATCACATCTTCCGCTTGCTACGATCCCCGACTGAAGCTAGGCATTGACATTGATAGAGAGTGGCAGTTGTTTTATTAGCTGTGTGCGCACATGGCCTTCCGTAGAATCTCTGCCTTCTCTATTTTCTCAGCATCTTTTCACGAGCTTTTATCAGATCAAAATAGCTGAAACGAGTCTTGCTTCGCCGAGTTAACCGGAATTTGATTCTGTCTTGGCATTCAGGAACAACATCGGTCTTCTTTTAGCACAGTTTACGCTCTTTTTGGATGAGCAAACTGTTTGTTCCCCTTGCTTGCCAAAAAAAAAAAAAAACTGTTGTTCCCCTTCACCGAAGACGCCCTGGTATTGCGAAGCAATGTTCTGTACTTACTTGAGAGTTCGAGCATTTCTACAGCGACGCTTCTTCGAACATACCGAAGCACCAGCCGATGCAAGCACACTGATGAAGTGATGAGAATGTTTCAGCTTTGGTTGAATCCCTTTCCTGCCGCTCGAGATGAACTTTGTCATGTGGATCTGCATGTCAAGCCCTCGGAGGAAGGAGATGGCCAATCTAGTTCACGTGCAGCGGAACTGAGACTGTGATTATGAGTACGTTAGAGCACCTCGCTTGGCGGTGGAGTACATCAAACGTCGCTCTACAGTTTTGGCTGATGCCGGGTTTCCTCCTGAAGCCCTTTACAGTTTCGTGGCTTCGTATGCTTATTTCGATGGCGAGTGGGCAGGCGGGGGCCCTCTGCGGGGTGCTAGCCATCCTCCTGGTTTCGACGATGGGTCCGATGATGGAGTTGCTGTAGTGGTTCGCGAGGCGGCGATGGACCCATGAGCAGGGTAGTAGTGTGGAAATTGTGCAGACAGGCTCGCTGTTGGCTGGATGACATATATGGTGGTGCTAGGGATGATGTAGTACGTTTCATTTTTGGATGACTGTATTAAGGCCCCGTGCTATACACTCCCCTACCACTTGGCTCATGGGTCGATCACCTTAGATACCACTAGAGCATGAGCATCTCCATCGTAAGAACCTTTGTCGAAAACTGGAGGACCATCAAACCCACTTAGAGGCCCGAACCCCTCGCCTCGCCTCGCCTCGCCATCGGCATAGGCATACCTGGCCACGAAATGATCTGCACGAGGCAATCCCCGGTAGCAACCCCAACTATCGGGCGACACTTAATTCGCTCCACTGCCGAACCAGGTGCCATACCCAATTGCAATGCTCATGTGCATCAGATCTATATGGCCTTAGGAAGAAATTTTGTTTATCCAATGGCAAAGATGTTTATCACATCACATTTGTGCTTTTGCAAAGTGGCATCACTGAAAAGATGTTCTTTCGGTAGAAAATAGAGAAATCATGATGTGAATTTGCATCCTACTGACTTTGCCATTCAAATAAACTGCTTTGCACATTCTTTTCCGAAGTGGCCTTTTGTCTTTGGTGGGTGAGGCTATGATGGGGCAAAGTGCCCTTTGATTCTAATAACAGGTGATCATCGACATTGTAACTGTTGATTTATTAATCAAATCTACAATTGAGATTCAATATTGGCGATCCAATTGTCATAAAATGTAAAAGCATGATGCCCCTACGGTATTGTAATCCAACCACTCAACCAGTTAGTTTCTCAACGTTGAGAACCGAAAAATTTAAAACACAATAGTATACACAAACTTACACAGTAAACTCCATTTTCTATTTCATCAAATGAGTCTTCAGTATCACTGGACTTGGATCATGTCTGAATAGCGCATATAATGTGCACTGTTGTTGGTTCATCTTCTAAAGAGAAGACAGATTCGACATCGTCATCTTGAATCGGAAATTGCCGGTTTGGACCTGAATCTCTTGCTCTGGGATACAAAAACGATTTCAAAAAGTAGTTTAATCTTGGAGAGCCGTGACAAAAAAGAAAGGAAAAAAAACCGTAGCCAACGGTCGTCGCCGTTAACGCCCAACGCGCCCCCAGCCTACCTTCACTCTGTCCCACGAAACCCCGTTAACGGGACGGAACCTTCACCCCCGGCCCGTTACAAACGTCACGGCCCCTCGTCAGCTTCCGTTAAAAAGCTTCACAAACTGATCTCACCGTCGCATTTTCCATCCCTAACGTCGTCTCCCTCCGCCGCGCGCTTCCTAACCCTAACGTCCTCCTCCGCTCCGCTCCGCTTCCCGATGGCCTCCTGCGACGACGACTTCTCCGTCCTGGGCGACGACCACCGCCACCACCCCCACCACCACCACCACCACCCACCTCCGCCGCACCCCCACCCCCACCACCACCACCACCTCCTCCCTACTCCTCCTTCTCACCAGCTCCACCCGCCGTACGCGGGCCAGCAGCGGTACACGCCCGCTCCATCTGCCCCGACGAAATCCACCCCGATCCACGCTCCGCCGCGGCCCCCGAGCCCCAAGCCGGCCGGCGCCGAAGCCCGCGAGGAGGAAGGCGGCGGCGATGACTACCCCGAGGCGGCCTTCCACGACGTGAATCCGTTCTCCGCCGACGAGAGCTCGAATCCGTTCGAAGCGGCCGGATCGGATCCGAGCAAGTCCCGCGCCGATGGGCGATCCGACAAGAGGAAGAGCCAGGACGAGCTCAGCGACGGCGGCACGCCGTATAACTACAAGAAGACGAAGGCTTCCGCGGCCGCCGCCGGGGGGGCCGGCGGGAGCTCCGGCGGAGGGGGGGAGTATAGGAAGGATCGGGAGGAGTGGAGCGACGCCGCGATCGCGTGCCTCCTGGAGGCGTACACGGACAAGTTCACGCAGCTGAATAGGGGGAATTTGAGAGGGAGGGACTGGGAGGAGGTGGCGGCGACCGTCAGCGAGCGCTGCGATAAGCAGACGAAGAGCGTGGAGCAGTGCAAGAACAAGGTGGACAATTTGAAGAAAAGGTACAAGTTGGAGAGGCATAGGATGAGCAATGGAGGCATATCGGCGAGTCACTGGCCATGGTTTAAGAAGTTGGAGGAGATCGTTGGCAATTCGTTGCCTGTGAAATCTGCGAGCGAGGACGACAAAGGAGGTGCTACTTCTGTTACCTCTGTTAAGCAGTCCAAAAGGTGATTTCTCTTTTGATTGTTGTTCTTGATTTGAATCTCCTAAGGCTCGTAGATATCTTTCATTATGCTTTGGTTGTTCCGTTCATACCTGCGTGGGAGACTGGAGACCTTTTGGGGGAGGAGGGTGGGGTGGGGGGGAATTGTGAATGCAATTTTTCTGGGAACGCAAGGAATCGCTGTGGCAGGGACGATCTGTTTGTTTAGTTAGAGTTCTGATGCTGGAACATGTCTGATTTTATCGTGGAGGGGGCCGTATTTTAGTTGTGCGTGCTTTCAGTATCTGTGGATGTTTGCTTTGCTCGTCAGGAGTCGGACCGATTGTTAGCTCCCGTCTTTAGGACTCATTTAGTTGTCAAAGGATATGGTGCAAGTGTTGTTGGGGAATTTACGATATTAGTTGGTGGAAAGGACAAACTAGCCTCTTGCTAGTCGGAGATTTATAGATTTCAGAAACGGGGAACGCGCAATACTTGATCCATCTTTTGTTGAAGTTATAGATAGTTCAGCTGATATCTAGTTGTATCTAGGCCAATGTATGTTCGGCATACTTTAGTTTTGTCCAAGAATATTACTTGTTCGCAAAAATTAATGAATTTCAATGACATCTGAATCTTCTATCCAGTTGACTTTAATCATTTACAGTTCCGAGACCCTGAACTGCCCAGCCAGCTGCATGGAAATGTTCATTCTAATACATGCGGAAACTTTCATCCCTGTATGATATCTCTCCGTGGAGAAACCTGCACTTCTTTCACTGGGATGGGAATTCAAGAATTGGAATGTTAAAGATAATGCACAGAAATGCATTGGAGACTTGAGAAACTTTGCACTATATTTGTCAATTTTACTGGAAGTTTGGTGGAGTTTCAGTAGGCGTATATCTGAAGATTGTGACCGGTTCTGTTGGCTTAGTCTGGCTGTTTTAACTACAAATTTTGGTAAAGTTTGTCACTAACGAGTATGATGGGCCAAGATCATTAGCTTTTGCTTAGTTGCGGTCAATTTTCATATTTATTTTGCCTTTGGCATATGATATATATGGTTTATCTGGAATCTATTCTATTTTGTGTCTTATGTTAATTGTCTGGCTGGCCACTTCTGGAACCTATATTTCACGTCCTGAGCTCTGAAATTGTGATATCAACAACAATTTATATGGAATAGAGCCTACTTTTCTTTGTGATGTTGCTCTTCTTGTTTTATCCGTAAGTATTTTAAATGGGAAAACGGCAG